GGATGCTGGCTTCCAAATTCACACCCTTGCTTGGCTGCAGCCCAGGTTTCACTTAATTGTAATTTGACATTTTACTGTTAATTTGTGTCTGTAGTAAGTGTGGGCTCACTAGTGCAGGGCATGCTGGGATGTTGTATGATGCAGGAGCCAATTATCTGTCAGTTGGAGAGGGAACAAGAAAGAATGTAGAAAAGGTTAAGTCAGTTGGGTCAGAGCCCTTCACTCAACAATGTGGATTTCAAACAGCTGCTTGGGGGAAAGGTTTTTGGCCTCTAAGAAGTAAAGTTGAGGGACACATCACCCTCTCCCTCCCCAGGCGCTGTGCCCATGCCCTCTTGGACTATATAGTTCATCTGTAACCGGCCTCTAGCTGTCACCGGGGAACCTCCCTGATGAGAAGGGTTGAGATCTCTCCCGCACCAGTTCTTCTCTACGTGGTTTGAGCATTGGCCTGCTAAACCCAGGGTTGTGAGCTCAATCCTTGAGGGAGCCATTTAGGGATCTAGGGCAAAAATCTGTCTGGGGATTGGTCCTGCTTTGAGCAGGGGTTTGGACTAGATGACCTCCTGAGGTCCCTTCCAACCCTGATATTCTTTGATTCTTTTCATGACAGCTGCAGAAGAAATTGTGTCTGCGTCCCTTTCCAGTCTGGCACAGTTCACTGCTGGGCACCAGTTAAATCAATAGTAGTAGTTTTTCCTTTGCTATAAATAAGGGTTTCAGTGAATCATTAAGATGCCTCATTGGCCAGGTTAGATTGTTATCCTTTTGATGTCCAATTGGCTTATAGGCTCTGGCAGCAGTAATCAATGATGAGGCCTGTGGGACCCCATTTTATTAACTGTTATGCCTGCGCAGAGCCTCCATGAGGCTGAGCTTACTCAATTGCCATGGAGAAGGATGATCTGGACAGCCAAGAGGCTCAGGATGTCAGCTGTGCAGCACTGAAGAATGGCTCTGAGGGCACTTCCACTGTCCACTTAGTGAGCAGCATCGGGACACAGCTTCTTGCATCTTCTACCCCAGTCCTTATACATGAACAAGAGTCCTGGCAGAAAGACATGCACATTGGAGCAGAGACCAGGCATGGGAAATGTCAGCCCAAAAGGCAGATATGCAGAAAGACCTGAGTTAGTGAAAATGGGGATTTGTAATGAAAGGAGTTTTGCAACAAGATTGCTGCCTGTGTGACCAGTCTGATTATAGCCATCAGCAGCACAACACGTAGGATGGTTCTCACTCTGTTTCCTGAGGTTTGTGACAGAGCATGAAATCGCAGGGATTAGCTGCCGACAGTTGTAAACCAGGTATTTTTGTAGATTGCTTAATTCAGAAATTGTAGGACCAGCCTTTCAAATAACTATAATTATTTTATGGAAGACTTCAGTGTTATCCCGCCAGCCACAATATTAGTTCAGCTACATTTACAGAATTCCTAAGTTGGTTTAAAACAGCAAGATGAAAGGGTTTATTTTATGACGCCTCTATTTGACCGCTCCTAACTCATCGTGTTCACAGGAAATCATTGCCCTTAGCGAGTCTCCCATTTTACTACTTTCAAGAGGATCAAAGTTTTTAAATGTCTGAAACTTCTTATTACTGTTATTACTTGTGTACGTGCCTGCGCTTCCAGGTCTAGGGATGAAAGTTGGTGTTTTATTTCTCGCTGTATCCCTGCATAAGGAAGATGCACACTGCAGAAAAGTAAAATGTTAATGTTCTGAAAGAGGATTTATATGCACATTTCTCTGTATTGCTAACGACCATCATGCTGAATCCAATTATACTTCATATGCTTTCAATTTCCCTCCCTTAGATTTAAGAAGATTATTCCAGTTCCTGAACAGAGTATGGTTCAGATGTTGTGTTACCTTCTTGAGTGTCTCCTAACTACGGAGAACACTCCTTCAGACTGCCCCAAGGAACTCTACGAGCTCTACTTTGTGTTTGCTGCTGTCTGGGCCTTTGGTGGAGCAATGTTCCAGGATCAGGTAAGATGAGAGCTATAAGTGTAGGGCTCATTAATGTAGTATCCCATTTAGACAGTAGCCTCTTTTATTATTCTGATTATTATTATACTTATTCAGTGTGATTCTCTAGTATAGTGTTGCGTTCCTGGGGCTAGAATACAATTGTCAATGGGATAGAAACCTCTGGAGCAATGAGCGGTGCTGTTTCTCTACCTTGTTTACAGAGAAAACACGGTAGTTTGTGAAAGGCATCATTACACTAGAGACAGTATAAGAGCAGAAGGGTCAAGGATTAAAGCAACAAAGATGAGAGAGACATTAACTTATGTACAAACATTTTATTCTGCAACAGTAAGTTGACTGAAGCAGTAACACCCTACAGAATGTGGTAGTAATGAATACATCATTGAAGCACAGGGTATGTCTACACTACGGGATTAATCCGAATTTAGATAATTCGAATTTGGGAAACAGGTTGTATAAATTCGATTGTGCGCGGCCACACTAAGCACATTAATTCGGTTTTTAACCACATTAATTCGGTGGTGTGCGGCCACACTACCCCATTAATTTTAACCACATTAATTCGGTGGTGGCGGCCACACTAACCCTAATTCGAATTAACAAAATCGATTTTGGCGCTACTCCGCTCGTCGAGGTGGAGTACAGAAATCGATTTAAAGCGCCCTTTAATTCGAACTAAATGGCTCTGTTGTGTGGACGGGTGAAGGGTTAATTCGAATTAACGCTGCTAAATCCGAATTAATCCCGTAGTGTAGACCAGGCCACAGTAAGAGATACCAAAGTTTGCCATCTCACCGTGTGTTTATAGGCAGGAGTGCCATTGCAATGACATAGATCAGACAATGTTTTGTTACCACTGGACTTAGTTAGGGTATCAGCTTTCTAAGGTTTCTAAGAAGAATAACAAAGAAATAGTAGCAATGAGCTGAACTGAGAATTGAAGCACTTGGTTTAATTTGATCCATTTGAAATAGCAGAGGTGAACAGTTGCTCTTTGTTCACAAGCATGCAGCACGCTGGGTGCATGTCAGGAGCTGAGGTCTTCTGAAAAGCTGGTCATAAATGTCAAAATTGGATTTTCTGGGTGCCAAGCACTTTTGAAAATATGACAGGTTTCAGAGTCGCAGCCGTGTTAGTCTGTATCCGCAAAAAGAACAGGCACTTGTGGCACCTTAGAGACTAACAAATTTATTTGAGCATAAGCTTTTGTGGGCTACAGCCCACTTCTTCGGATGCATAGAATGGAACATATATTGAGGAGATATATATACACATACAGAGAGCATGAAAAGGTGGGAGTTGTCGTACCAACTCTGAGAGGCCAATTAAGTAAGAGAAAAAAAACTTTTGAAGTGATGATCAAGATAGCCCAGTACAGACAGTTTGATAAGAAGTGTGAGAATACTTACAAGGGGAGATAGATTCAGTGTTTGTAATGGCTCAGCCATTCCCAGTCCCTATTCAAGCCTAAGTTGATGGTATCTAGTTTGCATATCAATTCCAGCTCAGCAGTTTCTCGTTGGAGTCTGTTTTTGAAGCTTTTCTGTTGCAAAATTGCCACCCGCAGGTCTGTTTTTTTTCTCTCACTTAATTGGCCTCTCAGAGTTGGTAAGACAACTCCCACCTTTTCATGCTCTCTGTATGTGTATATATATCTCCTCAATATATGTTCCATTCTATGCATCCGAAGAAGTGGGCTGTAGCCCACGAAAGCTTATGCTCAAATTTGTTAGTCTCTAAGGTGCCACAAGTACTCCTGTTCTTTTTGAAAATATGGTTGTTCTTAAAGTGCTTAAATCAGGGGTGAGCAAACTTTTTGGCCCGAGGGTCACCTCTGGGAATAGAAATTGTATGGCGGGCCATTAATGCTCACAAAATTGGGGTTGGGGTGCAGGAGGGGGTGAGGGTTGGGGGTGCAGGCTTCAGGGTGGGGTCAGAAATGAGGAGTTCAGGGTGCAGGAGGGGGCGCTGGGGTGGGGGAGTGGGGTGCGGGAGTGGGCTCCGGCTGGGGGTGTGGGCTCTGGGGTGGGGCTGGGGATGAAGGGTTTGGGGTGCAGGAGTGTGCTGTGGACTGGGATCCAGGGGTTTGGCGGGCGGGAGGGGGGGTCAGGGCTTGGGCAGGGGGTTGGGGCATGGGGAGAGGCTCAGGGGTGCAGGCTCTGGGCAGCGCTTACCTCAAGCAGCTACTGGAAACAGCGCAGGGCCAGCTCTAGGCGCCAGCAAAACAAGCAGGTGCTTGGGGCGGCACATTTCTAGGGGCGGCATGGCCGGCGCTGGCCATCATAGGCGCCGACTCTGTGGCATGGAGAAAAAGTGCCCCCGCCACCCTAGCTCGCCTCCGCTCCGCCTCTGCCTGCTCCCCTGATGTACCACTCATGCAGCTGTTAGGGTCTGGTACTGCCACCCATCACCAGAGTATCTGGGCGCCTTCCACTTACAAGTGATAGCAATAGCAAAGTTCTTAGTGGCTTTCATGGAGCCCCTGGCACTTCTCACTTCTTAGGGGTAAAAACTCTGCTTGGGGTAGGGTGATTTTTTTGAGGATGGTGTTGTTTGGGTAGAAGGGCAGTCAGTGTTGGGGTTGATTGGGTTGAGGGGTCAGTGGTTGGGCTTGGAGGTAGAAGTGGGGCCAGTGTTGGGATTTACTGGGTGGAAGGGGGGGGTCAGTGTTGTCGTTTGGGGAGTGGAAGTAGAGGTTCAGTACTGGGCTTTGGAGGTCAAAGGGGGTGACTGTGTGTGTGTTGTTTTATGGTGGAAAAGACTTTTCAAAGAGCAAGGATTTGCAGCATTTCCTAAAGCTGGTCAGACTCTGGATTAGTCTGATCTCCTCCGGGAGTTACCCAATCCCTTCAACCCACAGTGCTTTGTCTCCCGCTCTCCTGGGATTTGTCCTGTGATCTGTGTTGCCACAGAGCAGCACAGCTGTCACAGGGATTCTTAGATCAAAATGTGGTCTCTGGCATAGGCTACCACTGGGAAGTGTGACTGCAGCACATGTAGACATATCCGAGCTAGCTTTGAGCTAGTAAAGCTGTGAAGCTTGGGCAGCTGCATGGGCTATCCTGGCCCAGGGCCTACCCAGGACCTGGGTGCCCAAGCAATGGCTGCCCACATTGCCATAGCCTCACCACTATTATTACTCAAGCTAGCTTTGACCTAGCTAGTTCACAGCCAGCTGGAATGTCTGCACGTGCTGCAATCACAGTGGTGGTGTGGACACACCTGCAGTGTGTGCTGAACATGTGGTTGGGACTGGAGGGTGTGCTTTAGCAGATTGCACCAGGTGCAGTAGAAGCCCTCTGCAGCCACAGAATCTCTCCCCAAGATTTTGCTTTTGATGCTGGCCGTGCTTCTGTAAATATCAGAGCAGGGGAGCCGAGGGTACAGCAGGCTGAACAAGAGCCTGGTGAAAAATGATCCAATATAAAATCTGTCTATTGCTCTCCATTGACGGTGCCCTTCACTCTGACCTTTTGCTGCAGAAATGTCAGGATAAACAATCTTTAGAGCCTTTCCACTCTGATGTGCTCACTGGAAGGGAGTGGGCTCCCTGTAGGAAAACAGTTGATAGATTTTCCATTTCAAGATAAAGGCTCTGAAATTAGTAAAATTCCATGTGGGGTTTTATTAAGGAAGCAGCTCAAATTTAACATCGCTCTGGCAGTGTGGGTTGGGACCAAATTGCTCCGGTTAAATGGCATATTAGGGAGGGTGGATGACACATTACGGTGCAGCTGGAAGCAGCTCTCCTGTGCAGTGGTGAGGGCGCCCTAGTGAGAAAGCTTTTAGCAGTGATGCACTTCCACCCCCATTGAAGGCTACTACAGCCACTGCTGAGGAATTATAGCAACAGGGAAATGAGGAATTAGTGATTTTTGCCTCTGTGAGCAGCACCAGACTGCAGAATCCTGGATAATAATGGTGTGTTTTAAGAATACTCTGGTCTAGTGTTAAGTGAGTGGCTGCTTCAGGATAGCAAAGCCCCATGGAGCCTTTCACAGAGGGTACCAGTTGAAATGCAGCAGTTGGTGAAAATCCTGGCTTTCTTCTGGAGCTTTAGTGGCATACATGAAATGAGTTGGCAGTCCCAGCTGACTTGCTGTATTGGACAAGAGTGCACAGCGAGTGGATGTGGGGAAAAATAAGCCTTATGAGAAATGTACTGAGAATCTGGGCAAGCTGTAATGTTGCATTCACTGCTTACATGGTCTTTCATCACCATAGTCTCTGAATGCATCTCAAGCATTAATGAACTTCTCACTACACCCCTGTGAGGAAGAGAAGGGCTAATATCTCCATTGTACAGATGGGGAACAGACTCAAAGAGATTAAGAGATTCACCCGTGAATCTGTGGAAGAGCAGGCAACTAAACGTAGACCTCCTGAGTGCCCAGTCCAATCACCCTCCTTCCTTCCCCCAAATTTCACAGTCACGACTAGTGGATGGTGTAGGATACGAGGGGGAAAGAGACATAGGGAAGATAGCAGAGACCAAATTCGATATGTGCTTCCAATGTAGTATAGCAGCAAATAAAGGTTAATGCAAAGGTATCAGAGCTGAAAGGTGATGGTCCCTTTCTAGAAGTCTGGTGCAATTGCACTTGGAATACTTCATTCAGTCTGGGCTCCTCAATACCAGAGTGCTGTGACGGGGAAAGAATCCAGAAATCAAAAGTTAATGGGCTGTTGTGATTTTTGAGGAAGAACTTTAATCTGCATGCCTTGGCTAACCATGGCTGGAGGTGGGGACATGAAAGCCATCCACAACTACTATTGGAGGCATGTACGCACTCCGGATCAATTAATTGGCCTGGTTAATCTGAGACACATAATTAATTCTGACAGATGGATCTCTCTATCTAATCTAAGGTATATCTAAAATGGCCATCATGAGAAAGGATTTATTTAGGATTATAAACAGGAGTAATGAGATTAAATTAAGATTAGTTTTAACATCAGGAAATAGCTCCTGACAGTAAGTACTCTTAGGCTGTGGAATAGTGTCCCGAGTGAATGGTCAGGGCAGAGCCCAGGGGAATATACTGCAGGGGATGGTTCCAAACTGGCTGAGGACATGGTGTAGATAACCTTTTCGATCACTAGAGATTTTCTGCAGGTTAGCATCTTTGCTGTCCATTTTGTCTTGCAGCTTGTAGACTACCGAGTAGAATTCAGTAAGTGGTGGGTGACTGAGTTCAAGACCATCAAGTTTCCTTCTCAGGGAACTGTCTTCGACTTTTACATTGATCCAGAAACAAAAAAGTTTGAACCTTGGTCCAAACTCATCCCCAAGTTTGAATTTGATCCCGAAATGCCATTACAGGTACGTGAATCTTTGTTTCATTGCCACAAAAGAATATATAGCTGTGTGTGGTGTGTGCTTTGTCTCTGTCGAATAAGATTTGTTAGCACTGGCGTGAGAAAATGAAGGTTTGTTAGTAATAGTGACATTCCATCTAAGACACAAACATTCACTCTAAAGTGATTAAGTGACCTGGGTTTGATTATGAAGACAAGGTTCATTAAGAAAGTGGTACTCTTGTTACAGTGCGCTGGAATATGATTGATGAATGGGGCAATGACAGACACCCATGGACTGAATCAAAGCCGTGCGCAAAACATAGTGCCATTTCAATTACCAGTCAGATATCCACTTTCCAGCTGCACGCATCTCTGCAGTGCCAGTCCATTGTTATCCTGATAACTCCTGTCTGAAATGTAAAGCAGGGCACCAGTTAAACCAGAAGGGGTAGTGTGGAGAAGAGAGAGATCACACTTGCTCTCTGCAAGCAAACCAAGGCCTTATTTTAATGACTGATTTGGTTCTTTAATATGAAAATCACATACATAGGTGGGATGTAGTGGTCTGATTCCATCTAGTGAATGCCAGCAGAGTAGAATGCGCACATGTCTGATTTCAACCAGCAAAGGGGTCGCAAATTCACCACCAGCTTATCAGCACTGTAGGGGATAATTAGAGCTGGTCATAAAATGGAGATTTTTCCATGGAAAAATTAATTTTTTTGTCAAAAATCAGTTCATAAACCAGAAATATTTAAGTTGTGAAAACCAAAATATTTTGATTCTGAAATGCTGCCCTGGTGCCTCCTGGGAGTTGTAGTTTGGGTGCCTCGTGTTCACACTCTCCATCATAGGCTTGGCTCTCTCTGGTTGACCTATATCTACCATGATACATCTGTCTTTTCTTGGTGAAGGGAGATGGTGCATCATGGGAGTTGTGCTCATAGTGCATCATGGGACATGAAGTCTGGCTGGGGAGGCTGGTCCATAGAAGAGAATGAGGACAACTTAACTGCAACACCCAAGAGGCACCATGCTGGCACTGAAATATTTTGGTTGTTGGCTGACAACTGAAAAAAATCCATTTTGGGGTGTTTGTATTTTTTGACAAAAAATCATTGCTTTTTATGAGTAGCCGACACTTCTAGTGAAAAATTTTGTTTGGTCAAAACCCCAATTTTCCATCAAAAAACAGTTGTTGTGGAAAAATTGTGACCAGCCCTAGGGAAATACCTTTTATTGAGGACACACAGATGCTACCAGACAACTAGTTAGTTACTGAAGACTTTAGCTGGAGTAGATAGTCTAATTTACTGTCAGGCAGAGGTCTGTACAGCTCTTCTCTGGTGCTTGCTGTGGACCCTCTACCTCCTCGCATATCTCCAGCTGGATCAGTATTCCCCCACCTCATGTGAGCGTGGATGAAAGGGGGTGCACTGAGGCTCATTGCATGTCCCCATCATTCTCCCCTTAGGCTTGTCTGGTGCCCACCAGTGAAACCATCCGAGTGCGGTACTTTATGGATAGGCTCCTGGAGCGAAGGAAGCCAGTCATGCTAGTGGGAAATGCCGGCACTGGGAAATCTGTGCTCGTCGGAGACAAACTCTCTTCGCTAGATGCCGACGAGTACATGGTGAAGAATGTGCCTTTCAACTACTACACCAGCTCCGCCATGCTGCAAGGTAAAGCGGCAGAGGGTTAGGAGTCCTTGGGGGTAGGGGATGAGTGATGATTTTTCCCTCTGGTGTGTATAATGGAATTTGCAGGGGGGTATGGGTGGCTGGAAACCCCAGCGTATGAGCTGTTGGCAAGCTGTATCTGGTTTTATTATATAACTGCCTCAGAGGGAACCGTGGACTCTAAATCCTCCAGAAAGATACCTGGTGAAATCCTGTCAGGAGCCAGACCAATTCCTGGCCTGCTTCTTAACTAATTGCACTGCTGGGCAATCAGGAAGCCCAGCTGCACTGCCTTGGAACTGACAGAGTAGCCGCAGCCCTGCTCATAAAACTGGCACCCACAGCAGATCAGCAGCTGCTCAACGTGTACCACGACTGCTGCCGTGGTTGCCCTGCTCCTGCTTGCAGCCCTTGCTTCCAGTCCCATTCCCGCCTGCTTCCAGTCCCTGCCCCAGCTTCATTTCTGAACCTGCTTCTGCTCCACCTACTGCCCACTTCAGCTCTAGCCTCTGTTCCCCTCCAGCTTCTGACTTCTGGCTTCGATCATTGGCTCGGGCTCCAGCCTATGACTCTGGTGAACCCTCCTGCTCTGGCATTTGGCTTCTGTCCCTCTGATACTGACCCCCAGCTTGTTCCTGGACTCTGCCCCCCTGGACTCAGCTCTAACCAATAGGCTGAACTCTCATTTCAGTCACTAGGCCTGGTTGGCTACAGTTTAAGCAGCCCAATACAAAGGGTAGGAGCCCACCTCACTGGCATAGACCCCACTCAGGAGTGGGTGTGGCCATACAGAACTTGCAGGTGTCCATCCTGCAGATTCAGAACACAGATCATCACCAGTGACCCTGGCTCTGGCTTTGTGGGAACCAAAGGTCCCACTCCCAGACATAAGAGCGGCCATACTGAGTCAGACCAAAGGTCCATCTAGCCTAGTATCCTGTCTTCTGACAGTGGCCAATGCCAAGTGCTCCAGAGGGAATGAACAGAACAGATAATCATCGAGTGATCCATCCCTGTTGCCCATTCCCAGCTTCTGGCAAACCTTCCCTGCCCATCTTGGCTAATAGCCATTGATGGACCTATCCTCCATGAACTTATCTAGTTCTTTTTTGAATCCTGTAATAGTCTTGGCCTTCACAACATCCTCTGGCAATGAGTTTCACAGGTTGACTGTGCATTGTGTGAAAAAATACTTCCTTTTATTTGTTTTAAACCTGCTGCCTATTAGCTTCATTTGGTGATCCCTAGTTCTTGTGTTATGAGAAGGAGTAAATAAGACTTCCTTATTTACTTTCTCCACACCAGTCAAGATTTTATAGACCTCTATCATATCCCCTCTTAGTCATCTCTTTTCCAAGCTGAAAAGTCCCAGTCTTATGTAAAGGTGCTCATAGTCAAGTTCTGAGGTTTCCTAAACCAGTGCTGGCTCCCTTTTCTGCTATACCCCTGTCGTTCCCCACACACCAGGCCCAAGTAGGGCTCATCATTAGTCTGTTCACTGGGGAGGCCTTGGCTTGGGTCTCCCACTGCTTGGAACAGTCCAGCCCCTCCTTGGTCAGCTGGCACAGGTCATTCAGGCCATGCCGGTTATCTTCGGTGATCCACACCACACCCGAACTGCTGAAGCCATGCTGCAAACGCTACAGCAAGGACATCGATCAGTGGCTGAATTCCATCACCTCTCCATGGACACTGAATGGAGTGAGGCTGTGCAGCAGCATCAGTTTCGACTTGGACTGCGTTACGAAATACATGAAGAACTGGTGCAGCTCCATAAATGTGGCCCAGCCCCTCAACCGCGCACATCAATCCAGGACCCAGAACCCATGCACATTGGCCAGGCCCGTCCATGCCTGTCTGAGGCTGAGAAACACTGATGTCAAACCTCAGGACTGTGTCTGATGGGGGTTGGAAAATGCCAATCCCCAGCCCCGATAAGAGGGTCCAGGCTGGTCCCTTTCCTCCTACAGAGACTCTTGACCTCCATGCACCTCTGTCGAGACAGCAGCAACTGCAAACTCACCCTTGTTGCAGCTCTGACTGCCATTGCAGCTCCTACTCCTGATAAGCCCAGCAGTGTACCTGGAGGCTCTGGTTGACTTGGGAGTCTCAGGCAATTTTATGGACCAGGATGTGGCTAAGGCCTATGGGATCCCTACCATGTGTAAGAATTCCCTGGATCTTGGGGAAACCATTGATTGGTTGCTTTTGGCCTCAGGGCTGGTCACCCACCAGATGACCCCCTTAGAGGTTTTTACCCTCCAGCAGCACTGGGAGACCCTTCAGTTTGGGTTGATTTGGGCCCCCCACTCTCGGGTCATCATGGGAATGTCCTGGCTCGCTGCCCATGACCCTTGTATCAGTTGCTGAAAAGGGACAGTACACTTTTTTTGCTCCCAATACTGCCAACAATTCTTCCTTCCCAAGGCCAAGAGAGAAAGGGTGTCCTTTGGAGCTCATGTCATCATCCGGGGAACCCCCTTCTGCAAGGGAATGGGCTGACGGGAGCTTGGCACACTCCCAACCATCTCACTGGCTGCCGCCGAAATACCTTGCAAGTACCATCACCATGCAGACATAATCAACAAGGGAACCATGGACACCCTGACCCTCCATCACAAATACAACTGCCTACTTCACCTTCCGGCTGGCACTCAAATCCCCTTTAGCCACATCTATGCTCCATGGGGGAAAATCTGCAGAAGGGGTTTATCTGGCCATCCACCTCTCCAATAGCGTCCACAGTCTTCTTTGTTAAAAAGTAGGATGGTTCCCTGAGACCTTGCATTGTGTACTGGGCCCACAACAAGGTGATGGTTCAGAAGAGTTACCTATTTCCCCTCATTCTTCAACTCCTAAACCAATTACACTCTGCCCAGTTTTTTACCAACTTAGATATCTGTGTGTAGTCTTTAACCTGATGTGGGTGAGAAAAAGAGCTGAGAGGAAAAACGTCTTCCACAACCAGTATGGATGCTTTGAATACCTGGGCATGCTGTTCGGTCTTTGTAATGCTCCCACGACCTTCCAGCATTTTATCAATGACATTTTTCAAGACACGCTGGATCAGTTCATTATTATCTGTCTCAATGACACCCGTATTTTTATAAATGACCGAACACAGCACAACCAACACGTACAAAGAGTCTTAGAGAGGCTTTACCAACACCACCTGCATGACAGCTTGACTGTGGCACAGTAGAGTTTTTTGGCTATATCATCTCCCCAGAATAGGGTTGCCAACTTTGTAATATTTAAAACCTGGACACTCCAACAGGAGTGCCGGAACCTCTCCTTCCCTGCCTCTTCCCCTTGAGGACCTGCCCCCTGAGGTCCCGCCCCTGTTTGCTCCTCTTTCCCCCTCCCCACATCGCTCACTGCTCTTCCCCTCTCTCCCTCACCTCTGCCCAGGTCTGGAGGGACTTGCCTGCAGAGCCGCGGCTGGGAGCTGCAGCCGCCCGATGCAGGCAGGAAGTGGCCTGGCTAAGTAGGGGCTGGCACGAGTGATGACTTGGCGCCTCCCCGCCCGCAGTAACTGGAGTTTGGGTGTCCGGTCAGTATATCTGACCAGACACAGTCAGGTTCCTTTTACAACCGGACTTTCCGGTCGAAAACCAGGCACCTGGCCACCCGACCCCAGAAGGACTGGCCATGTGTACTGTGGTGCACTTAGGGGCCATCAGGCCTGGTGAGCAGACCATGGTTCAACATCCCCCAAAGTCCTGGGGCCAGGCTTGTCAAGCGATCTGGGGACCTGGAAGTCAAGTTACAGTCTTCTCCTTCTCCGTGTTTCCTGGATCAGACAAGGGGAGGAAGGAAGGGGAGTGGGGCACAGGGCCCAAAGGGGAAGGGTGAGCAGTGTCCCAGACCAGCCTCCACTTCCTACATCCCCTGTGCTCTCCTCAGTTTGGGGCATGGTCACAACACTCTGCTTCCCTCCCTGTGGAGGGTTGCTAAAGCAGTCTCAGCAATTCAGTTAGTCAGTGGGGGTTTCCCCGCTCCCTTCTCAGTATTCAGTGATTCCTCTTTGTCAGGGAGAAGGGGCAAGAAAAAGGGATCAGGCCCCTGGCTGCCTGGTCAGGCCTAACTGGCTTCCTTCCTGCAGACAGCCTCTCCTTCAGTCTTCACCTGCTTGATTGCCAGAGTCCCATTTTAAGTATGTCCTCCATTTGGAGCATGCTCTGCAGCTGCTGAGGAGTGGGGCCTTCTTGACCCAGTGCTGCTCTATCTTTCCTTTAGTCCAGGGGTCGGCAACCTACGGCACGCGTGCCAAAGTTGGCACGCGAGCCGATTTTTCTTGGCACGCGGCGCGGGCTGAACTGCTCAGCCCGCTGCTGCTCTGATGTTCCCGCTGCCAGCTCCTGCCAGCCGAGGTCCCACCGCGAGTCCAACTCAGCACCTGCTGCCGGTCTGGGGTTCCTTCCCCCAGGCTGGCAGCGGGCTGAGACCCCAGCTGGCAGGAGCTGGTGGTGGAAACCCCAGAGCGGCGGCGGGCTGAGCTGCTCAGCCTGCCCCACTCTGGGGTTCCCGCTGCTGGCTCCTGCCAGCCGAGGTCCCACTGCGAGTCCAACTTAGCACCTGCTGCCGGTCTGGGGTTCCTTCCCCCAGGCTAGCAGCGGGCTGAGATCCCAGCTGGCAGGAGCCCGCAGCCGAAACCCCAGAACGGGGGTCGGGCTGAGCTGCTCAACCTGCCGCCGCTCTGGGGTTCCCGCTGCTGGCCCCTTGCCAGCCAGGGTCCCGCCGCTGGTCCCACTCAGCACCCTCTGCCGGCCTGGGGGAAGGAACCCCAGGCTGGCAGCGGACTGAGACCCCAGCTGGCAGGAGCTGGGGGCAGAAACCCCAGAGTGGCAGCGGGCTGAGCCAGTTGCTGCTCTGGGGTTCCGGCTGCTGGCTCCTTGCCAGCAGGGGTCCCCACCGTGCAGCTCCACTCACCTTGCTTCCGGTTGGAGGCTCCCTTGCAGACAGGGTCCAGGGCTCCAGCCCTGCCCAGGCCTACCAGCCAC